TATTAAAGTTAGGATTAGGTTTTAAAATTTAAATTAGGGGTTTGGGGAAGGTTTTCGGGCATGCTGAATATTTTTACTTAGTATATCGAACACTGATTACCTTAGTCGCTTTTGAGAAATAGCAAAAGTAAATTAAATTATTTTATGTAGATATAAATAAAGTCTACATAAATTTTATATTTATATAAATAATAATTAAATCATATATAAATATTATATCTAAAAATTTTAACTATATAAGTCTATATTGGGTTTGTAAATCTATATAAAAATTTTATATAACTTTTATATAACTTTATAGAGCTACGTAGGTTTTATAAGAAAATGTTCTTCGTGATGATGTACAGGAGTTAAGAGACCTTAAGCTCACAATAGAATTTTTTTATAGCTTTCTGCTGAGCAAAGCTTGCTTACATTCGTAATACGGTTCACATTTTGTCTGATATATCTGAAAGAATGTACGTACGTACGTTGTGAAAGGCGCCAGTTACTCCTGTCCTATATTTTTTACTTTGATCTTCTTTTGTTCTTTATATATGGGGTCTTTGCCTTGAAAATGACCTTACAGGACTATATAGATTTTATGAGTAAAAATTAAAATTTCTAGTCATCTAATAATCAAAATCAAATAATTTTTTTATTTTGTAGAACTAACTAAGATTTACAAAATAAAAAAAAGTTTATTTTAATTGGACTACTGGATAGCTAGAATTTTTAATTTTTATTCATAAAATCTACATAGTCCCGTAAGGTCATTTTCAAGGCAAAGACCCCATATATTATACCGATACCAGTTATTTCTATATATGCATACTCAACATAGTAAAGCCCTGCCTTAAAAATAGTAAATAGAAAATCGTCACCTTATTTCCAATTAATGGAATTAATTGCATTTAATCCAATTAATTGAATTAATTCAATAGCATTAATTCAATCAGTTGAACTAAATCAATGTTACGTTACAATCAGTATTGTAAAAGAGAATGTAAAAATTATGAAAGCAATGCCTTTTCGCTTCAATAAAGATAACTCAGAGTTCAAAACACAGGTTGATTTCGACATTGAGGAAAGTGTTTGTCCTACTAAATCTCACCGATAAGTCAATTTCGTCCAAAGAATTAGTAGTTTGGTCATCATTCCTAAGTAGAACCTCGTGACGTAATCTAGAGCTCTATTTGGCTCTAACTAGTTCTTAGGACCCGGTCATTGCCAGGTTCAAGTTTCTAATTATTTTCTTTTGTCTTAGGTCTAAATTCAATATAAATCTAACTTGGGTTCAAATGAACTTATTTTAGGTTTAAATGTACCCGGTCTGGGTTCATTTGAACCCAACGTGGGTTCAAATGGACCGGACGTGGGTTCAAATGGACCCGACGTGGGTTCAAATGAACCTGACGTGGGTTCAAATGGACCCGACGTGGTTCAAATGAACACGATTTGAGCTCAAATAAACCTGAATTAGTTTATTTATAATATATATATATATATATATATATTTTTTTTTGTTTTTTTAAATTTTTTTTTAATTTTTATATTTTTTAATTTAATTTTTTTTAATTTATATTTTTTTAATTTATTTTTTTTAATTTATTTTTTTTAGTTTATATTTTTTTAATTTATTTTTTTAATTTATTTTTAACTTTTTTATAAGGGAGATATACCTACTGTATTTTGATACAGTTTCTAATTTGACACACGATGATATCTTGTGAACAGTTGATCAGAATCATATAATTTTGGTATCATTCAATTCGTCTTATTGAGACGAACTGAATGATGACAAAATTATGCAATAGTTCTCAAGATACACTATTTAACTAAAATAACTCAAGATAGGTATACCTATTTGATGCAGATAATGTTTATAATAAAATATCATGAGGTATATCAATTAGAATTGAATAATTTTAGTGCCATTCGATTTGTCTTATTTTTACATTATAATTTTAAATTTTAAAAAAAATATTCTTGATTTTAAAAATTTTGATCAAAAATTCAAAATCAAGTATATTTTTTAAAAATTTTACAAATATAATAAAAATATGTATCAACATAGTGTATTTTTATACATAAAACAAGTTTACTTAGAGCATAAATATATAATTAATTAATCAAATTTTGAGAATAATAATATTTTTCAATATTTTATTAATAAAATTATAAAAAATTATATGATCTTTAATATTTTATTAATTAATTATATA